GTCATGTCGAAAAAAAAATTTTCGGTTAAAAAAAAAAAAAGGATAACCTCTCCCTAAATCTAATTTAAACCTTTTTTTTGTTCGTTAGTTAAGGGTCTTGTAATTAAACCTTGTCACACAATTATTATTATTATTATTATTATCATGTTTAATTGATGCGAGCGCTAATAAATTTTTTATGAATGGAAAAAAATATGAAAAGAAAAAAAAACAGGAAAAGCCGCCATATTAATTTTTACGATTCGAATTTTTTTGAATAATTCAAATTTAAGGATAATAAATTATTAATAATAATTATTTAAATAAAAAATAATGATAATAATCCGTTTAAAAAAAAGGAAAAGTTAAATAAAAAAAAAATTTTAACAAACCGGATATAAGTGTAATATTTTCCGAATCGAAATTCGAACGGAAAACAAAACAAAAAAACAAAATCAAAATTTCATTGGTGGTAACCGCAGGATTTAAACACGGGCACACACACGCACACGCACGGGCCCACACAACGGGGCCCCCGGGATTTGTAAACTTCCCATTAAAAAAAAAAAAAAACTTTGAACTCTGCGGGGAATTCAATATCCCCTCCCGTCCCCCCCAATCTAACGAGTAGTAGTGGTATCGCATGTTTTTTTTTTTTTTCTTTTCCCCCAAACGGTCATTACAATGATTGTTTTGTTTTGCTTTAATGTATCGAATTATGGAAAAAAATGGAAAAGAAATGGAAAAAAAATGGAAAAAATGGAAAAGAAAAACGTTTTTACATAAAAACTTATTTCCATAACCGTTAAACGAAAAAAAAATTTTTTTTTTTTTTTTAACGAAATATTTCTAAAAATAAATACAATTAATTAATTAATTATTAAATGAATACGTTTTCGAATTCAAAATGGCGTCGTCGTCGTCGTTATTACTGATTCATTCAAAACAATCGAAATTTATCTATTATTATTATTTTTACGGTAATTAAATGAAATAATCAAGTGGAAAAAAAAAAAAAATTTTAAGAGAAAATTATTATTATTATTTTTTACAAAGATGGCGGATGTTTAAAAAAAAAAAAAAAAAAAAAAAACGGTTCAATGAATTTTAACGGATTTTTTTTTTGAAATGTTACGACAAATGTAATATTATAACGTTCCAAATAAGTATTCAGTGCAATTAGGCAGGTATTTGAGTGAGTGAGAGAAAGAGAGAAGGAAAGGGAGAGAAAGAGAGAGGGGGAGAGGGAGAGGGAGGAAGAGAGAGAGAGAGAAAGGAATTCATGAGACGGATGAATTATTATTAAAAACCGGTGATTTGGGTGTTGTTGTAGTTGGTTGGTGTCACGATTGGTTTTAATGCCCATAATTGTCGTGTCAAATGGATTTTTTTTTGCCACATTTTAAGACAAGTTGTCGTCGTCGTTGTCACCGTCGACGTCACCGTCGACGTCATTTTAGTTTTTACTTTTAGGAAATTTTTAAAAACGGGCGAAGTCACATGTAAAAATTTTTTATATCCATCTATTTTTTCCTTCATTTACAAACGTTCTTTTTAGACGTGTTTTTTTTACTTTTTCTTTACAAACGTTCTCTACCCACTTTAAACGTCTTTTCATACTTCCGATTGAGAGATTCTAGTGACACGTCTTCGAATAAAATTCAATACTATCTCCGATCTTAAAAATCGACATCATTTTTAATCGCGTTTTTCGTTTTTTTTTTTTTTTTTTTGGTAAATAAATTTAAATAGTAATAATAATAATGATAATGATGATGATTTAAAAAAAAGTTTGTTTACGTTGTTTAATTCGGAGAGGGACGGGGGGCGGATTTATTGGGAGCAGCGATTTTTTATTTTCTTTATAAAATTTTTTTTTTTATTTTTATTTTGTAAATATTTAATAACGATGACGAAAAATTATTATTATTATTATTATTATTATTATTATTATTATTATTATTATTATTATTATTATTATTATTATTTAAAAAGTTTAATAACTGATCGATAAATTAAACGTTGAAAATTATTATTATTATTATTTTGTTTTTTTTTTGGCACGAAAGCAGAAGAAAACAAAAAAAATAAGAAAAATTATTTTTATTCGGTTCGAAATTCGTAGTAAATGCTTAACCGCAATCGGAATCCTCCCACTCTCCCTCCCTTTTTCCTCCTTCACCACGTTAAATTATTTTTCTTTTCCTTTCCAATGATTTTTCTTTTTTTTTTTTTTATCATTTACGGTAAAATTATTTTTTATAAAAAATATTTATTAATCAAAAACCAACAAACAAACAAACAAACAAACAGATAAATAATAATTTAAAAAAAAAAAAAATTATTAATTTCAAAACGCGTAAAACGAATTTTTTAATAATCGCCTCCCCTCGCCATCTCTTCGTTGTTGACGTCACATTTCGTTTATTATTATTATAACCTGTAAAAAATTATTATTATTATTATTATTCTTAATAACGTCGTAATTTTTACCGTAAAAAAAAAATTATAAATACGAAATTCGCAAGAAAATGAAGGACGAAAAAAAAAAAAATTAAAAGACACGAAAAAAGCATTAAAAAGACAACTAAAAAAAAAAAATTTTCCTTCACCACCCCCCGCCACGTTTTTTTTTATTTATGTAATTAAATTAATATAATTCCTTGGCATTTTTTTAAATTTAATAATAATAATAATAATGATAATAAATAACGGAATAACAGGGCGGAAAAATAAAAAGAATAAGTTTTTGTTTAAAAAAAAAAATGTAGTTAACTCGAAAAACGATTTACAATAAAAAAAAAAAAAAAAAAAAAAAAAGAAGAAAAATTTTATAAAATTTTAATCAGACTACGTGTGTGTGACGTTTGTCGTTTGTCGTTTGTCGTCGCTTGTTTTATTTAACTCTTAACAAATTCATAGCGTCGCATAATTTTTTTTTTTTTTTTTTTTCGGTCTCATGTATTTTTTACGAAAATTTTTTTTTCTCGCAAAAAACCACCGTTAAATATTTCCTCTCTCGTACATGTTTAACAAAGGAAAGGTCAAAGGTTAAATTTACAAATCGTACGAAAAAATAAAAATAAAAATCGTGGAATGTTTTAAAGTAATAATAGTAGTAATAGTAGTTGTCGTTGTTGTTGTTGTAATTCTTACAAAATAAATAAATAAGAAATAAAATTTATTTTCCTTTTTTCCTCCTCCTCATTTTCCCCATTTCCTCATTCCTCCTCCACCACCGCCACCGCCCACGCCACCCTCTCCATTCATTCCCCCCGTAATTTTTTTTTAACATTTTCTTTTTCTTTTTTCTTTTTTTTTTTACTTATTTTTAAATGGAAAATTTTAGTTTGAGATTTAACGACGGCGTAAAATTCCGGTTTTGACAGTTTCTTAACATTAAAAAAAAAAAAATAAGTAAATAAATTGTTATGTGGGTCAACTTTTATTTTTCAAAAAAAAAAAAAAAACCGTTTTTCTTAGCCAATTTTTTTTTTTCTTTTTCGAAATAAATAAAATTTTCTATTTTACTTATTTTTTTCTATTTTAAATAAATTTTATTGTAATTTTTTTTTTTACACACGTTTATGTAAAAATAAATCCGTTGTTTCAAATAACAAAAACGTTCGATTATTATTATTATTATTATTGTTTAAACAAAATGGATCCTTATAAATAAATAAATGAATGAGATTGATATACTTTGTAGTAATATAAAATGAATGGGTTTTGTTATTTTTACAAAGTGGGAAAAACGTTCAATTTATTTTTTTATATTTTTTTTATTTTTCTTTTTCATTTTCGTTTTCGAACATTATTTATTTATTTATTTATTACGTGATAAAATAATAATAATAATAATAGTTTAAGATTAATAAATAACTAATTATGTAATAATTATTAAAAATATAAAATAAATTATGTATTATGTACATAAATGAAAAAAAAAGAAATCGTCAGGGAATCGATTTTTAAAAAAATGGCGGAATAAAAAAAATGATAAACCGGAAGTTACTCGGAACTATCCGGTAATTATTACGTCATCCTCATAAAAAATTAAAAATTTTTCCACTGCAGCATTCATTTTTTTTTTTTTTAAAACATTGAATGTTTATTTTTATCATTTGCACGAATCCGAAAAACAAAATGGCGGTTGTTTAAAACAGATCCGCTAAATTTTTTTCTTTCTTTTTTTTTTTTTTTTTAAATAAATTTGTTTTCGATAATTAAAACAATTCATTCATTCATTCATTCATTAACAAATAACGGTGGCAAAAGTTCATTTACCTTGTTTATTTGTTAAGAAGTTTTTTCCACCACCACCACCGCGCCACAACCGCCATTTTGAATTTTTTAATTTTTTTTCTACTGCTTCCTTTTCTTTTTTTTTTCCGGAGAAAAAAAATAATAAAAAATAAAAAATAATTTTTTTTTTTTTTTTTTTGACGACAGTTTGACAAAACTTTGACCGACGACGAAAAGTTTTTCTTTTTTAAAATTACTAATACGTTTCCGTTATGACGTCCCACGAAGAAAAAATAAATAAATAAATGAATAAAATCCAAAACGAAAATAAATAAATAAATAAAAATAAATTTTGCATATTTTTTTCGCGAGAAAATAACGAGTGTGAAAATTTTACGTTTTGTGAAAATTTTATGTAATAATAACGATAATGATGATGATGATGATGTAATTACGTCACGGGAATTGATAATAAATTTAACTGGAAAAATAATAAAACAATTGATTTGATGATTTCTCATGTTTATCACACACACACACGCACGCACGCACACAATCGATAGAATGCTGTCGGTTAAAAAATCATTCCTCGGAAAAAAAAACATTATTATTATTATTATAAGCGTTTTTTTTTTTAATTTTACGATTCTCCAGAGGGAAATTATCTATTCGATATTGAGACGTGTGGGTGTCACGTAAAACAATTTTCTGTTTATTCTAGAATTTTTGTAAAAAGAGTTTGATCCAATAAAAAAAAAAAAAAAAAAAAAATTTATATGCGGATTAGTATCGGATTAAAAAATGATTTTGCGAGATTAAACGAAACGGGTAAGCTAAACATTAATTTTCATATTAATTTTATTTTAACTCCCTTAATTAATCCAAAATGATACGGGTTTGAAAAAAAAAAAAAAAAAAATTTTTTTTTATTATCATCACTAGATCCCCGCATATATGTATATAGGTCACGTGATATAAAAAAAAATTACCGACAAGCAACAAACGTTGGTAATAATTTTTATGTCGGATAATAATAAATAAATTTTCCCGTTTGTTTCACGTTTGTAAGTTGTATAATTACGGGGAATTTACAATTTCGAAATTGTTTTCGTCTGTGTTTTTAAGGTATGAAAATTGTTTTGCTCCTTTTCATTTTGTTACATTTTAAACATTTTTGTTGTTGTTGTTTTTGTTGTCGTTTTCGGGGGGGGGGGAAAGGAAAAGACAAACATAAAAATTTTTTTTAAACTTCACCCAACGTTTTTGGCAAGCATCTCGTATTTATGTCTTTCCTCCTCTCCCTCTCTCCCCCCCTCTCTCTGTGTGTGAATTTCTGCAAATTGTTACATTCAATTACCATCGTCCAAATGATAATAATGATAATGATAATGATAATAATAATAGTAGTAGGGGTCAATTAATTCTTTGATTTTAGTACGAGCAACTTTTCAAAATTCAATTATTATCGCCTAAAGGAAATGAAAAATTATTTTCACGGGGGTCTTTGTACTCGGATATCACTCTCTCTCTCTCTCTCTCTCTTTTTGATAAAAAGAATAATGTTATCCCGTTATACACGCACCTGAGGAATAAAATACAAGGTAAAACGGTTAAATAAAGATTATTATCATCTGTTCTTCCGTTATTGGTAAAATACAAAATAAGTTTTTTTTTTTTTTTTTTTTTTGTGTACGCGTAGTTTTTATTCTTGTCGTCTTTTTACGCGCGTAAAAAAAGAAGAAAAAGAAAAAAAAACTGACAAACAGGAAATTTAAAAAAAAAAAAAACGACAGCATTTTAACCATCAACCACATTTAAAAGATTTTTTTTGAGTTTTTTTTTCTTTTGACTTTGTTATTACATAAAAATTTATAAAATTATAATGATAATATTTTGGTTGTTGTTGTTGTTGTTATTGCTGCTGCTGCTGTAGTTGTTGTTGTTGTTGTTGTCGAAACGTAAAAAAGTAATTTTAATTCGGTAAATATTTGATTTTTTTAATTATTTGGTTCGTTATGAATTTAAACAAATAAAAAATTTTTTGAGTAAATGAACAAGGGGAAAACATTTTTTCTCACTCACCCCCTCCCCCTCCTCCCGGGGGTTTTTTTTTCATTTAAAATTTAAATTGAGGACAAAAACAAAAATAATTAAAAAATAAATTTTTTGTTTTTTGTATACATTTTCAACCGAAAAATTAAAATTAAAAAAAAAAAAAAAAAAAAAAAAAACCAATAAAAAGGGAAAAAAAAAAAAAAAAAATTTTTTTTTTTTTTAAAAATTTAATTTTATATCCACCTTTTTAAACTTAAAAAAAAAAAAAAAACTTTTGAGTTTACTTTACTTTACTTAACTTAACTTAAAAATTAAGTTCTTAAGTTTTTTTTTTTTTTTTTTTGGAAAAAAATAGAAAGAAAAGAAAAGAAAAAAAAAATTGGTTGAATATTTTATTAATTAAGTTAACGCACCGGGCATGTTAATCACAAAAACCTCAAAAAGAAATCCCCTCCTTTTACCCCCTTCTCCTTCTCCTCTCTCTTCAACCCTTCACCTCCCCCAGCCCCCTTCCCCCCGAGAAGGGGGGGGAAATTCAAGTTAAAATTAAATTAAAGAAAAAAAAATTTCTTTTCGAACAGTTTCATTATTAACCCCGGAAGAAATAAATTTTATGAACAAAAAAAAAAAAAAAACTGTATTAGTAATATTATCATTATTATTATTATTATTATTTTGTTAAACAGAGATTTGCAGAAATCCGAGACTTCAACAGTTGCAAGCAGAAGACGACGATAGTTGTCCCGTGATATTAGATAGAGATTTTCACAGTTTGCATCGAAACGTTCCCGCTTTGAGACGACGTGACGTCGATATCACTGCCATAAGACAACATTATTATCCCGAAGGAGGATGGGGATGGATAATTTGCGGAGCGGGATTCATTGTGCATTTATTCACGACGGGACTCCAATTATCCTACGGGTTGTTGTACCTTCACACTTTACACCACATCGGAAATCACACAGTCATGGATACAGGTTGGAAAATTTTTCAATTCCCTTTTTTTTACACACACACGCGTGCGTTTTTCCCGGGGTGGGATGAAGAAAATTTTAATTTTTTAAAATTTAAGAAATAAAATAAAAATTTAATTAAAATTAATTTACCGCCAAAAAAAAAAAAAAAGAATTGTGTTAATTAAACAATTTCTGCCGTGAATTGATTTAATTAAATATTTAATTTACTGAATATATAATATACATATATTAAAGACAATATTTCAGGTGAGCGAGAGAGAGAGAGAGAGAGAGAGAGAGAGAGAGAGAGAGGCACAAATGTTACTAGTGACGTCATTATTACATTTTATCACACACGTGTATACACTCCAAATGTTTCAAATTTAATTTTTCTTCTTCCACGATTAATTTTTTCAAATGTTAATTAATAAAAATTTTTTATTCGTATACATACATGTGTGTCGATGTTGCACACGTTTCTCTAAATAATAAAACAATCATTGAAAATGGGATGCTGGGTTTTTTATCTCTTTCGTATCATCTTAAATTTTTTTTTTTTTTTACGTTTTTTTACGTTATATTCAATTATAATTTAAATTATTATTATTATTATTAATATTATATTATTACATCGTGAATGCGTTTCATGAATATTGAATTCCTTTTGACTAAGTTAATAAAGAAAGAAAGAAAATTTTTTTTTCTTGTTATATCCAAAGAGAGCGAGAGAGAGAGAGAGAGAGAGAAATTTCATTAAAAATTATTATGTTTAAATTTTATTAAAAAATGATATTCAAGAAAACCTTTTTTTTAAAATAAATTTTAAATAAATATATAGTTATGTACATAAAAAAGTTTTTAAAAATTTAATTGCGACAGTTAATTAGTCTAATTTTTTTGTAAGGATTAATTTTTATCTTTCTCTCTCTCTCTCTCTCTCTTTTAGCTTGGATCGGTCCTCTTTGTTTGGCCGTATCACTTTTTTCCACACCCATCGTCGTGGCTATTTGTAAAAGAAAATCTACGAGGCTCACTGCCATACTCGGTGGTCTGATAATGGCGCTGGGATGTTTATTTACATCTTTTGCACATCAACTACATCAAATAATGCTCAGGTATCGAACCTTTTACGTAAAAATTTATCGGATAGAACGATGAGACTTTTAATATTAAATTTGTTTTTTAGCTATGGTATAGTCATGGGCATAGGCGTGAGTTTGGTGAGAGAAACATCGAGTTTAATGTTGGGTCATTATTTTAAAAGGAGGAGAGAATTTGTCGAAATGGTATCGCAAGCCGGTGCTGGCATCGGTATCACATTAATTTCCGTTTTTTACAAGGAAGCTGTCGGGTATAAGAAATTTCTGGAAAAATTTTTATCATTTTCAAATCGGAGAGTTTTCCCACCAACTTGTTGTAATTTTTTTTTGAAGGAAATTAGGTTGGCGTTTGGGTCTTCAAGCAGTTACTGCAATACTTTCCCTAACGTTTTTCCTCGGGATTTTATACAGGTCGGCATCTTTATATCATCCGCAAAGAAGAGCAATTTTACATTTGAAAAATCAAAAGAAAAAAATCAAAGAAAAAAAAGGTCATAGGAAAGTTGAAAAACCTCCTCTATTAGATTTTTCCCCGTTGAGAATACGAACGGTACAGATATTATTATTATCATCAGGTACGGCAGCTTTTGGTGTTTACACTCCGGTATTTTACTTGGTAAGTCGTTTTTTATTTTGCGGCCATTAAAAAAAAACATTTCGTCATCATATTATTATTAATTTATTTATTACAGGCATTGCAAGGATATAAAGAAGGTTTGGAACATAACACTTTGGTTTTGCTCGAAACATTTTTGGGATTTGCCACGGCCCTAGGTTGCATAGGGTTCGGACTCATCGTTCTACGGCCAAGTGAAAATTGCCTTGTGTCGAGACAATATTTGTGTCAGGTTGCAATGGTAGGTATAAGCATTTCTTTATTGGCACTCGGCACAGTTCAAGGATATCACGGCTATGCTTTGTTTGTGTGGATTTATGGTATATGTCTTGGAGGATTTTTCTACTCTTTGAAAATGTTTACAATGGAAAGAGTGAGAGCTAGACATTTCACAAGAGCTTGGGGATTTGTACAAGGGGCAGAAGCCATTCCAGTTTTAATCGGGGTTCCTATAACCGGTTAGTTTTTTATGTTAAATTATTTTATTCGACACTTCTTTTTAAAATTTATTTTATATATAAAAATTCTTCGAATGCTTTACCAGTAGAAATCCCCTATTAAAAAATAACTTTGCAATTTTATAAACTTTAGTATTTGAATATGCACTTTTTGTGTGGTACACATTTTTTTTTTTTTTTTTTTTACAGGTTATATCAATCAAAGTCATCCGAAAGCAGGTTATTATTTATCATTTTTTTCTGCTATATTAGGAGCTGTGCTTTTGTATTTTGTCGAAGTTCCTCCGAGAGATGAAGAGTTATCACCTTTGCCACTGCCAACACATACAAATAATAATCCTAGAGGAAGCATTTGCATTTGCCCCTCGATTTCACCAAGGCATTTAACCATGCAAACTCATCTGCCTAAAAGTGTTTCATTTGCGACCACACTCGACATACCTGATCCATCTCTCATGGGGTACGTTTCTGAAGAAAGAATACCTTATTTAATGCATTATGATTATTTGAGACCTGGCGGTTTTCCGGGACGACGAACACTTAGAACGTGCAAAAGCGTACCAGAAGGCCTGGCAAGATATGAATACTACTACAGAACTCCAAAAAGTGTACAAGTAATAGAACAAATGACAACATCTGTCTAGTTAATAAAATGATTTTGTAAATCAAAATTTATTATCTATTGTAACTTAATATAGTTTTTATTTATAATTTTTTTTTTTTCATTTTTCTGATCGATAAATAATTTTTGATCAATTCAAATGTTTTTTTTTTTTTAATAAAAAATGTTATATAAAATTAAAATAAAAAAATTTTACCTTAACAAAACAAAACAATAACATCTATCTTATTTATCTATGATTTCGTAATTTCTAGTTCCACTTTGAAATCGAACCGCGCAAGGTTTCATTTTCTTTTTTGTTTACAGTTATAGAAAGCGGTGACAATACATATATATATCGGTTATGTTACTTGTAAAAATGCAGTTAATAAATTCTAAATATTGAAGGAATAAATTTGGGCTCAGTTCTTCGATATATATATATTTAGTAATAACAAAGTGAAACACAATTAAAACTAATATCATGTTTTAAAACTACATCACCATTTTTTTCGTTTTTTTGTTTTTTTTTTTTGTATTGTGAGATCACCAAGTTTAAACTTCGATGAAGATTGATCAATAGCCGTTGCCTTAGATTTTTTGAAAAATCTGCAATGTAAGTTACTTATGAAATAATAATTTCTTTTATTACAAATTTTTTTTCTTTACTATAAGTTTTTAAATTAGTGAATTTGATTTTTGACTTGAATAATTATTAAAACAATTAAAAATTACAAAACCCTTTGAGTTAAGTTAAACTAGAAAAATTTTAGTTTCTTTTCATCGGTTAACTTGTACATTCATTCATACATTAAAAAAAAAAAAAAAAAAATTCACAAAATCACAATCATTAATTTAAAAATATAGTTGAAATGTAAAACATAACCAAACTAATTAGTTAAATGCTTAAATATTAGTACAAATTTTAAACATGATTTTTTTTTCCAAAAATAAAGAAATCATTTTAATGAGTTAATTAAATAATCTTATTATTTACAAAAATTTTTATTTTGAATATTTTTAAAAAAATTTAATGACTTAAATTAAAAAAAATTAATTTTAAATGATATAATATTGTTTTAATTGATGAGAACATTACAATGAAATTCTTAAAAATGTGTAAACCTTTAAACCTTATTTCGATTCGAAAGTATTTCCCTTCCTCTAACCTCAAACCTTTTTTTTCTCCAAGGTTTCAGATGATTCCACTGGAAAAATAAATATTATACATAATTATATGTGTCTCTCTATATATACATACATACATAAAATTTAAATTTTAAAAAAATTTTAAAAATGCCACAAATTATTCAAAGTTGGTTAACAAATCGCTTGGGGATTGTCCTCGATTTGTCATTCAATAATTTTGGAAAGAATGTAAAGGATGGTGTTTTATTAGCTCGTTTATTATATAGCTATGGTGTTTTACCAATACATGTTTTGGAACTAATCAAAGAAACTAAAAATTACCATGAATGTTTAAGAAATTTAAATTTATTAAAACCTTGGTTGGAACATATCGGTGTCTCTCATAACAATACACTTTTAGAAGAGATTGCTGGAGGAGAAGGATCTTCTGCCATTACATTGTTTTATTCCGTTTACAATAATTTAGAAAAAAATGATAGATTAAATTATATTTTCTTACAAAAACAAAGGAAATTTTCAGATAATAATTGCAAAGGAAAATTTAAAATAAGTAGAGTTTCCGATTTACCTCAAAAAAATAATTTAGGAGATTCTCTGACGGGTAATGTGTCATTGAGCGCGGAAAAAACTGAATTGATTGAATGGCACAAAGCCAAATGTAAAGAAGTTATAGAAAATATTAAAAAGATAAAAGAAAAATTTTCAAAAAATTTCGGAGGGAAAAAATTAGAATTGAGACCCATTGTATCAAGGCACACTTCTTCTCAAGTCATTACCAAAAATCAATTGGAAGCGGAAGAATTAAGAAAAACGATTGAGTCGTTTGAAAAAAAACACGTTCAGAAATGTCCTAATTTGACATATTCGGAATTAATAAATTTAAAAAATGTATTCGAAGAACAATTAATTACTATGGACGTTCCCAATCCGGAAAAAGTCAAAAATGTTTTATGTAAAATTAAAGCTAAGAAAAAACGTGAAATGTACGCAAAAAATTTTCAAGAAAGCATGCAAGAAAAAGTATTGGAAGACCAATGGAATAACGTAATCAAAAATCAAAACGAATGTTTCGACAAAACCGTTTGCAAAACGTTGTTGAAACAAAGTCAATACGAAAAACAAATGGCCGGAAAATTACACCAGTTGAGAAATAAAAAAAAAAATATAGCCGAAAATAGAAAACTCATTGAAAATTTAAAAACGGAACAAAGGGATTTCGATTTTGACAATTTATTGGCCACAAAAATGGAAAAGAAAATAGAAAACATGGAAGAAGAAAAATTTGAAAAGGAAAGACTTTTGCAATTGCATAAAAACGTTTACGAGGAAAAAGTGAGAGCGAGAAAAGAATTTTTAAAAATGGAATCTCATTCAATTATTGAAAGCATCATTGAAATCGCTTTGAGAGTGGTGGAAATACGAGAGTTGACCACTTGTCAAGTGCCCAAAGCATTAATGAAAGACTGGAAAGAACTTTTTTATAAAAATTTATCAATTTTCGATTCGTTGGATCATTTGGAAGAGTTGTGTGACGCGGAATTAGAATTGTCCGGTAATAATAAAAACGACGAAGGAAAAGATAACTCATCATTTATTACGAGTCACAGCGATCAAGTCAGGTGCCAGGAAAAATGTAAGCACAACATACTAAACGAAGCTGATTTTGTCGACTACATGAAATTATTGGGACCCTGGATGGTCGAACTCCTTCTTCCGGATAGTACGGAGACGGAAGTTCAACAATTCGTTTTGGGATACGTCGTTCATAAGCTTTTGAATATAAAATACCCGGTTTTGAATCGATTGGTGCACGCACCCTTGAAACCCATGAAACCGACAGCCATAATTCAAGATTTGGATGATGACGGTTGTAAAATGTTGATGGATTTGATGAATCCTTGCAAAATCCTCGTTGTACTCGTGAACGATGCAATTAATTTTGTGCTTTCGACGTATAAGCAAGAGCTATCGAGTGTGAGAGACATAGATATTACTTTTCAAAATTTAACGGAAAAAGCGCTTCAAGATAAACCGGGATTGGAAAAAGATAAAGATATGAAAAAGAAAATGGAATTGTTGAAAAAAGAAGAAGAGGATGACGTTGAGATTCTTAATGAAGATTTTATTTTGTTAAATAAAGAAACGCAAACTCCGAGAAAAATCCCCGATGACGATCCGCTTCTTTCACCCAATGCTGAAATAGGGAAAATTGTTTTTGAATTTTTAGGTGCTGGAGATCCAGTACCCGACAACGCTCTCACTTCAGCAATATCAGCTTACGTTTATTCTAAACAAGAGGATTACGACGGTTGGATATTGTTAAATTATCCGCAATTTTACTCGCAAGCCAGCGATTTGGAATACATTTTAACCGGATATCGTTTTCTTCCCGTGGACGAATTCGAGGAAACGTTAGAAGAAATAGAAGGGTTTTCTTATCGGCAATCGTGTTCTTCGAACATGTGTTTTCCCCAGGAATTTGCTAAAAATCAATCTCGATTAGTACCGAAGCCGAATACGGATGAACCTACACCGGAATCCACTCCGAAATCGTATTTTGATTATTTTATAAAATTGAAAAAAACAAGCGATCTCCCGAAAACTTTTTTGGAAGATATTTCCTGCGTGACGCCGATCGAAGAATTTTATTTCAACCAACGAATTCTTCGATATCACGAGTATTCAAAGTTAAATTTTCAAACTGTTAAAAATATCGGGAAATTAATCCTTTGCAAAAATTTCGAAGAAAATTCGTTGATGGCGAAAACCTCGTTTGAAGTATTCGGTGATACAATTTTTGAATTGAATGAAAAATGGGATCCGACGAAAAAGAAAAATGTAAAACAACAAGAAAAGGAAACCGTTGGAGAATCGAGAAAATTAAAAGAGAAAGAAGCGACGTTAAGTGAGTACACGGATTTTGAAATTGAATTAAAAGATGTGAATTACGGTGGTGATTTCAAAACAACTGGGAAAAAATCCGCGGATGTGCCTAATAATGCGAAACCTGGAGATCCCGAATGGGAATGGGTTTCGGGTAATCAACCCGAAGAATTGTTATTGGCTTTAGCTACCCTGTGGGAAAATATGGAAGCCATATATATTGAAGATTTAAAAGATGTTTTTTTCGGGCTTCGGATTCAACGTTGCAATCTATTATCGTACTGCGGATTCATACACAAGTCCGTGGAAGTTGTAATGAAGCAACCGGATGAAAAGCAAAAAGTTTTAGGGGATTTTCAACAAATGTTCAACGATATCGATGAAGATTTGCGACCGGATTTAGACATAAAATGCGAACTTCACATTCGCGTGTCCGAATTGGAAGAGGCTCTCATGGGACTCGCAGACGAACGTAAAGCCAAGTCATTGAAGGACGTCACGAAAGTGGCTCAAGATTGTTGGGCAGCCGACGAAATGGCAAATTTGATTAATTTATTTTTGACTATCGTGCAACTAGAAGTCGATAGATGTTTGGAAACGTGTCAAATTCTAACGGATTATTACACGTCACTTCAGCAAAAAATTCCAGATGAAAAAATAATCGGTAAAGTAATTGTCTCTAAGTTACAAGTGAAAGATCGAAAATATTCAATTGTATCCTCTTCGACTCACAAATCGTCTTCCGGTCAATTTGCCACGCCTAGGAACACCGAGGTAAAAAAATTGAATCGTACCAATACGGATCAAAGCAACAAAACTAATTTTGAAAGGTCGAGCAAAACGAGAGGTTTCCCTGATAAAAAGAAAAAAAATTCGGATGTGAATTTTCTGGCGGGAGCCTCGGAAAACATTTCGGATATCCTTGTAAATTTGGCACTGCCAAGTGACGGAAATACGCTGTTTCATAATTTCTTTCGAGAAAGCGTTTCAGCAGCTAAAAATGAAACCTGTGCAATAATGGAGGGGATTTTATCGGATATCAGAAAAAGCGACAAAAATAATGCTAGAAATGGGAAAAAGGGTGGCGATGCCGGACCTACACCCAACGGAAACCTTATTGCCGAATGGGAAACAGCTTTATGCAGTGAATTATCGAGATTTAATTTTCGAATGAAACTTATTTTAGCAAGAGGAATGTACGATTTGAATGAATTTTTAGCGACGATTCTCAATACTTTATCAGCTCTAGCAGATGACGTACACGATATGTATTTGAGAGAAGTGCAAAGCATAACCGAATGTTGCAAAGTGTTTCGGTGTTCGATCGAAGAAGAAATTCCCGTCCAACCCCAACTTGAATTAAGGGAAGATTGTTTTTTCGTCAATCAAAATGTATTATTTTTCACAAAACGTGGGGATCCTCCGAGCGTGAAATTCGATAAACAGCAAGAGTTTCGTTTTGCAATCGAACATCTTCATCTCATTTTTGATAAACTTCGTCGCGTTGCTCCCAACGGTGAAATCATCAAACGATCCCTACTCTTTATATTAGAAGATTTACGGGCTTTTAATTCGGAAATTAAAAATTGCGACTGTTTTCCGAGAGCGTGGAAAAACTTGGATCCGAACGACATAATAACCATCCTAGATGAAATTTATTTAGATTTGGAAATTGTTAACTGGAAAGATTTCATCATTTACGGATTCGAAATTCCGCCTCCGACGGAAGAAGACGTTTTGAACATGAGAAAATTATTCAGAGAATGCGATTGTAGCGGAACGGAGCTCATAACTCGCGAAAACTACGATAAAATTAAATATTGGTTCGAGGAAAACAAGAGAGATATTCATTTATTTGAAAGGCATGAGAAAATAAAAGATTTACTGTTTAAAATGTATCAGGTAGATGAATTACAGGCCAATTATTCGGCTCTCATGTTGGCTTTTTGCAAGGACGAAAATCCATTTCACGGATTTACCAAAGCGTTGGCTTTGATTATGGGTAAAAAAATAAAGATAAACGAATTTCCCGAGGAAAATTATTTACACGTGTACGGAGAGAGCGACGAGTACGAAAATGATGACGTTTTTGAAAATTATCCGTCGAATTTTTTAGATAATCAAAACAACGACTCGTCGAGTTCTTCGGATAGTTATAAAAAATGCCTTCCGAAACAAAAAAATTTAAGGTGCACGTGCACCGATGATAAGAGCGTGAATCCGGACGACGATGATGTGAACACATTCGAAGGAAGTTATAGCGAAGAAGGGGAGAGCAGATCTTTGTTTTACGATGGTCCCAATAAGTTTTCACTAGCATCTGAAACTACCACGGTGCCTTCCTTTGTCCTATCCTTACTTTTGAAAACATCTTTTCCGTCACTGTCGCAGTTGAGTGCTCTTCTCGATTGCAATCAAATTTTTCAAGATACTATAAATTCAGTGTACGACAGTTTGGAACCGTCCGTCGATCAAATCTACATTTATAAATTACTTAGACATAAATTCATATATCAATTACTCCAAAGTACAAACAAATTTAAGCATTTAAGAACTAGTCAAATTCTAATGAGTTTATTGAAAAGCAAAGGGACGTTAAGCGCATCTTTTTGTTACCTACACAAATCCAAAATCAATTGTCGTGAGAATTGATCGAAGAATTATGTTTCTCGCAGATTTGTGATTGATTGATTGATTGAAGGGAAGAAAGATTGCGAATTTACAAAAAAAAAAAAAAAAAAAAGAAAGAAAGAAGAGAAAAGAAAAGAAAATAGGGGGGGGAGCTAATGGCAGCCAAGATGCCCGAACTCAACTACGCTTGTGAAATATGCGGATTAGAAGGCCTTAACGAAGAATCTATGAGAGAGCACATGATGAGCAATCATTTGGAGGGAGCTTCGTCGTGTTTTTTCTGCGATTTCGGTGATATTTCTCCGGAAGAATTACTCATACACATCAACACCGTTCACTTGGACTACCTGACTCCGGAAAATGAAATGTTGGATTTTATTGACGACGATAAATTCGAAACAATGCCCGAATCATTTCGTTTCGAATCTCACCACGATAAAAATATAAATTTAAGTAACAATAATAATTCGAATGTGAATAATAATAATAATAATATTGTAAATGAAATTCCAACGAGTAGCGGAGGAGCGGGAGCAAAAGGTTCGCCGTTAAGAACTCAATTAAATTTAAATTTGAAAGAAAACATTGTTCATTCACCGAGTCGCGTTCTGAATAAAAAACATAAATGCATGCTATGCGGGTACAATGCAACTTCATCCGCTCAACTGGAGGAACACATCAATCGTGATCATTTCGACATGACCAGTCCTTCTGCTCTCGCATCAAATCCTAGTACTCCCGCGAAAAATTTTCGATGCCCCCTATGTATATGGTCATTTCAAAACAGTCAAGATCTAGAATTTCACGTCAACGTGGAGCACAAAGATATATTGAGTCCAGCAAAGGTAAAATAAAAAATACCTATGCCATACTACAATAATAATAATATTTGTAATATTTGTTGGGATTTATTTACAGGCGTCCACACCCGGAAGTTTGAGTAACGGTACGGATGGGTGTCCCGTTTGCTCTCGAACCAATTTTAAAAGCAATCAAGAAATGGTATCTCACGTGGAAGAGCATTTCAATAACGGAACGCCGGTCACGCCAGATTCAACGTCGGACAAAATGCTTGCTCGAGAAATAGAAAAAAGAGAAATGGAAACGAGAAAGCAAAGGGAACAAAAAGAATTTGAAATGCTTCAAGCTCAATACGGAATGGATAACCAGGGAAATTTCAAAGAGCAAAGTCTAACTAATATGCAAAGAGCGGTGTACGCCGGAGAAATGTCGGTCTCGGATTTTTACGAAAGACAATTGGAATTGAGGCTAGCCGAAAACAATGGAATAGACGATGGGAGTTCTTGTACCAAAGACTTAATACCTAAAATTAGAGCCATCAGCCTTTCGTCACCCAACTTGTTGAGAGTTTTAACGTGCACCACCGTGGATCACTACGCGTCGACCTACGGAGATAAAGGATGGGGTTGCGGTTACAGGTCAGCAGGTGGTAGTCAAATTTAAGATTACGTTGACTCAAAACATATTTTTTGATTTTACCCATCGTGCAAAAAAAATTTTAGAAATCTTCAAATGTTGATATCATCCCTCTTATATCACACGGAATACTACGATCAATTATTTAAGTGTAATTCCGTCGGCGGGTGCCTGTATAATCTTTCCAATGGAACGTCATCGAAAACCAGCGCAGCTCCGTCGATATCCAGGCTTCAACAACACATAGAATGGGCCTGGCGTCAAGGATTCGATCTTCAAGGTTGTGATCAATTGGGTGGCAAGCTTTACAACACGAGAAAATGGATAGGAGCCACGGAAATCGTAACGGTTTTATCTTGTTTTAGATTTAGGTATGCATCGTCGCGAATGCAGGTTTTTAAACTTTTCCGTTTTCATAAAGAAATCCCTTTTTCAGGTGTCAATTAATAGATTTCGATCGTCCGACAAGTCCGGATGGTTCTCATCCTCAACTTTTCAATTGGGTTTTGGAATATTTTCAAACTTTCGAAGATTTCAAACCACCTCTCTATCTTCAACACCAAGGACATAGCAGAACGATCGTGGGAATAGAAGAATACAGAGATGGTCATTTGACGTTATTAGTTTTCGATCCCAGTCACAGTCCGGAACAAATGTACAGTTTGAAAAATACAACCACAGGCCCGATAGGAATGAGACTCATCAGGAGAACGTTATCGAGCATGAAAGCTCGACAATATCAAGTCGTCGCCATCAGGGGTCTTATGGACACGGAAAACGAATATCAGGTACAACAAACTTCTCTAATCCTTATAAACAACAGACACGTCGTTGACGTACAATTTATATTTTTTCGGTTAAATTTTTAGCAAAGCAAATTACTTCGTTCGATAAGAATCCCACAACAGGAATTGTGATTATTCGAACCTCGGGAAAGCATAAAAATAATAATAATAATAATGATAATGATAATAATCAGTTCAAAAAGTTCCTCAACCACACGACTATATATATATATAATATGTATGATGATATATATATCATTTAAGCCTTCGGTAAAAAAAAAAAAAAACACAAAGTCACACTTACGGACACGCGCACACAGACACATATATATATTATTAAAAATTTTTAAAGATTTTAAATAACCGCATAAATATTTATTTATTTATTTATTTATTAAAAATATATATGTACATGATTACATAAATAATTTTGTTTTTTTAATTCGGTAAAAAATTAAAAAAAAAAAAAAAATTTTATTTTCTATTTAGTCACGTGTTTTTATTTACATAGTCAAGGGGCAAAATTTTAATTTTAAAAAAGTGCCTAAAAATATTCTTTTGTTACCATTAAAAGAAAATTTTATTTATTAATATAAATAAATGATGATGATAATAATAATTATTAAATTAAAGTAAAGTTTATGTATTTATATATATTTATTTTTTTATTTTTGTTTCATCCGACAGAAAAAAAGGGATAAATAAATGAAAAAATTTTTTGTTTGGAAAATGATTGGAAAATTACATTTTAAAACTACCTCGAATTACATAATAATAATAATAATAATAATATCGAATCATTTTCAAATGTTTTATTTATTATTAAATATTTAAAAAAAAAAAAATTTTATTTGCTTTTTTATAAATTTTATATTTATATTTATATTATGTGTGTGTGTGTGGGATTGTAATTGCACAAAATTATTTATGTACATATAAACATCAAGTTATTAATTATTAATTTATTAATTAATTAGTTTTTTTTTTTTTTTTTTTATAAATTTTTTTTATTACAAAACGTTATGATTGATTGTATTCCAAAGTGAAAATTATCAGTGTCTGTCATATATATATATATATATTATTTATTATTATTATTTCTGTGATAAAAAAAAAAAGAAACTCGAATGAATTAACAAATTTTTCATGGATTTATATATCATAACTGCCCTTTACTGCCGGTAAATTAATTAAACAAAACGTTTGGTGTCAAATTAAATCATTTTTTTTTTAAATAATTCAAATAATTAGAATATTTTTGTCACATTCGATCTTATGTACTCTTAAATTAATTTGTAAAATTTTTTTTTTTTTTGTGGTTAACATTTGAAATGTTTATTCAATCTTAAAATATTTATTAATGTTTTGATTCATTTCGATTATTATTATGAAAAATTGTAATTATTTATTTATTTATTTTTGTAATAATGTTAATAATTTTTGTAATTTCGATGAACACACAAAAACAAAAATTTGTTTCGATTTTATGTTATTGAATTCATAAATTCAAATCGTAATGAAGGGAAATAATTGTAGTTAGGGAAATTGCACAGGAAATCAAATAATACACACTGATGATGATAATAATAATAATAAAAAAGGAATGATAAGAATGAATAATGTGTGTAAGTTTTAATTATGCAAAAATTTAATTTTTCTCTTTTTTTTTCTAATTACATTTAAAATAAATAAAGTAAAATTTTTTTTAAATAATAATAAATAAACTAATAATAATAATTAGTTAGTTTTTAATAAGGTAACTACAAAAATCTCATTCGTAAAGATTTCCCTTCATTTTTTTTTTTATTGTTTTTTGATAAGTGAAATCTTGTCATCTTGTACAATTTATTTTCAATCCAAATTTGAAATTTATTTATCTAAATGTTAAATCCCATTCGTCTCATGCACGCTTTATGTGCTTCTATTAAACCGACACAGTTTTCTTCACCTTTTTCCACAATGCTAAAAATAAAAAATATTTTTTAAGGGAATGTAAAAATAAATAAAAAATTTTACAGTTTGTACATGCTTACCAAGCATCACGTTCTTTTTTTGTTTCAGGACATGCACAACAAGGTTTTAATTTTTTACCATCGGGTCCTATAGGTATGGATTTATTTCCTCTTGAAATTTCTGCATCAACACCCATTGCTGAATGCAACGTTAAAGATCCCAAGTTTTGAAAAATTGCTAACATGAAAATAAATATTTTTGCTCTTAACAATATAAAATGTAATAAAATAATCTGCAGCCACGATTTTTAAATTGTCATTGTATATAAATAAATAAACGATTTGAAAGACTGATTTCTAAATAAGTTAAGTGTAAGCGAAACATTCATAAACATAAAATGACTTTTCTTCCCGTTAAAAATTATACACGTTCTCAATCTTTTAACAATGTGAAAATTTACAATTTTAAAACGGGTATGCTAAGTATAGGAAAAAAATCACATTAATTTTTAGAAATTAAAAGACGGCCGAGTGGGACTAATATGAATTATAAAGTCAGTCATCTTACAATCGCATCATTGATGATTTTATTATAAAATCGAATAAACCTCCTGAGTATTATAGTTCACGAATACAAATCGCCAAAATCATAGTAGAATTTGACGGGAAAAAATTTTTTTTTTTTTTTTTGTGTAGTCAAAGTGATGTGAATTTATTAATGCCACTTTCGCACTCTTTTTTAAACCTTTTTTTATTTAGTTTTTGTTTTTTTTTAGTTTTTTTGTGATAAAAACAGTTTAATTTATTTTTTTAAATAATTTAATATGGATTTAATAAAAAAATCAAAAAGGAGATGGAAGGAAAAAGGTAAAAAACAAATAAAAAAACGTAAAAAATAAATAAAGATAAACATTATGTATCATTTATAAATAGATATATATATATATTGATAAACCATAAGATATTATTAATAAATTATTTATTATTGTTATTTTTAATTATTATTATAATTGACTTATTATTATTTATTTTAATGTAATATTTTTTTTTTTAACAATAAATTAATTTAATTTTTTTTTTAATAAATTAATATTTAAAAGCAATGATTCATTATTTTTTTTTTTTTTTCTTTTTGTGAAAACGACAACATTGTTATGACACAATAACATTTTATTATTACATATTTTATGTTTTGTGTGTTTTTATTAAGGCAAAACAAGTGAATGATTAGGCACTAAAACCAAGCTAAAATGTCACAATATTGTCCTTGTTTATTTAAATAAGCACAAAATAAAATTAACAACAATTTAATAAATATTAGTAGTAAATAATAAATAGCATCAACAAAAATTTTAAACATTACATTGTGAATGTGTCAGGCGAAAAGTGCTGCATCCCTAATAATATTATTATGTTTCAGAAAAGCAAAAGCATATGTTAAAACTTAAGAGATGTGAAAAGGAATTGGTATCGGTGGACATCCTTTTGGTGTAGGCAATTTTAAAACGTCGACGTATCCTCCATTTTTGTACGTGGTAACGGCATTCAAGTAAATTTGAATTATTTTCTCATTGTTGCTAACCGATTCTTCATCTCCTATTTCTTTTGCTTTATTTAAAAGTTTTGTGTAAATTCTAATTCTTTGTTCTAATCCTTCCATGACTGTTTTCGGAGTTTCTTCCCATAATTCTTCATTATCTAAATCTATGTCTTCATCATCGTCATCATCACCTAAAGTAAACTTTACAGGAGACAGAGGTGTGTTATCTGACGATTGAACTAAATTTTCATTTTCTAATGGTACACCTTGAGGTTCATCTTCTTCTTCCATTGTTGCAACAGGAGGAGGCACTGGTTTTAAATTTAATGCAATCGGTGGTGGAATATCATCTTGAGCGATAGAAACACCACCTGATGCTTTTTTGATTAAATCTTGTAAAGTTTTAATTCCTCTGTTAAATCTTCTAGCTCTACTACTTTCTCCTTCTTGTTTTGCTTTTGACTCTGCTGTTTGATACATTTTAAGCCTTTCGGTTAGAATGTCAAGTATATTTCCTTCATTTTCCCCAGATTCCTCATCATTTGTATTATTATTATCCAAAGCGTCAGCATTCATTTCATTGTCAGCATCTTCCATGTCAACTACTTCTTCTACATCAGCTGATGGAGGTGGTGGTGGTGGTGCAGGTTTTAGATTAAGGGCTACAGCTGGAGGAATATCACTTTCTGGAATATCCTGACCTGTTTTTGCAAGTTTAATAAGACCTTCGATTGTTTTAATTCCTCTATTAAATCTTCTTGCTCTAGAAGTTTCACCACCTTCTTTAGCTTTTGCTTCAGCAGTTTGATACATTTTCAATCTTTCTAATAAAAGTGACATGGTATCTGGTGGAGAATCATTTGAATTTTCTTTTGAAATATTTTCATTTAAGTTTTCGCCATTTGCATTATTTTCAGGTTCTCCTTCTCCCTCATTTTGGACATCTGGTTGAACTGGAGGAGCTGGTTTCAAATTTAATGCTATTACTGTTGGAATGTCTGAAGGAGAAATTGTTTTTCCAGCCTTTGCTTTTTTAATCAAATCTTCTAATGTCTTAATTCCTCTGCCAAATCTTCTAGCTCTGGAACTTTCATTATTTTCTTTCGCTTTTGCTTCTGCTGTTTTGTACATCTTTAACCTGTCCTTTAATGTTGTCAGTATATCTGGTTCTTCTTTTGTTGAATTACTCTCAGGCTCAGGCTCTGAGTCTTCTTCTTCATTGTTATCATCCAAGACCACTCCATCGTCAGGCTGTGTTAGTTCTAATAACTCTCCGAGTAAATCAGGGTCATTTTCATCAACTTCAATATCTTCATCTCCCAAATCGATCTCTGCTGTTATAGTAGCCATTATATCAATATCAGAAGCTTCATCAGGGGATGATGCCTTTTTGCTTGGCCTTGAAACCTTTTTGCCCATGAGTCGTAAAAGTTCTGTCTCTTCATCTTCTTCACCTTCATTAAAGTTGATATCTTCATCGGGAAATCCTTCAACCCCTTAAAAAGTATAATAATATTGGTTAATTGTAAGTTAATTCTAAGTCAAGGTAAAATCTTGTTAAGTACCTGCTAAAGCTCTCAACTCAGCTTCCAGTTGTTTATCAGATGGACCTTTATCTAATTTAATACCGAATTCATTTTCCTCTGTGTCATTTCCTCCCCTCGATCTCTTTTTGTTGTCTTTTTTCTTTGACCACGAAAACATGATGAATCAAAAAAATATTCACCACTTAATTCAAAAAAAATTTAGTCAGGGAAAATACTTTCCCCATTAAAAAATTTTCCAGATCAAAATAAATAAATTCGGCAACACTGCATTCTTATCCTACCCATATTCAAGGTTATAAAATGAAACATTTTATTAATTATAACTTTAATATTGTATTTGCGTTTACTAACCATTAAAAATTAAAGAAAATTTTTTTAATAAGAAATGACGGGTTTTAATTAAAAATAAAAAAACTAATAATAAATACATTTTTTTAAAAAAATTTTTTAGTTAAAAATAACAAGATTTTATTAATACCGCGTTATTAAGCATGTAGTGCCAACATAACTTTCTTTCCTTTGAGAAACATGGAGTTGTATCGGTAGTGCATTATTGTTTTAATGTTAAAATTTTAGACTAAAAATTAACAATGGGAGGAGTACGAGTGATTCAAATAACTAATATTGCTCCTCAAACTACTAAGGACCAAATGCATTCTCTATTTGGTTACATAGGAAAAATAGAACAGATTCAATTGTATCCGACAATTAGGGAAGTTGCTGTGCCGGGTCGATCATTGGTTTGCTATGTGAAGTTTATGGATAGTGCAAGTGTTGGAGTTGCTCAACACCTTACAAATACGGTTTTCATAGATCGAGCATTGATTGTTGTTCCTTTTTCTTCCAACGATATACCTGATGAACAAAAGGCTTTTGAATTGACTAGGCCTGGTCCGAAGCTGGCACCGGGAGTGACAAATCAATTGGAAGGATTTCCGCCAAATCAGGTTTTGGTTACTCATGATCCTCGATTAATTGAACACAATTTACCTTTATATCCGCCATTGCCTTCTAATACAGATAGTAATACATTAGATGAAATTAGAAGAACGGTAGTTATAACTAATCTAGATAGGTCAATCGGGAGTCAAAATGTGATTGAACTATTTTCTAAAGCTGGAGAAGTTAAATATGTTAGATTTTGCTTTAGGCCAGGAGACACTGCTAATTATGCATTGGTTGAATTTACTGATCAAACTAGTATAATAGCAGCTTTAAAGATGAATGGAATGCAACTTGCTGGAAATACTATAAAAGTTAGTTATTACAAAGTTTTCTATGTGAAAAATTATTAACTTTAAGTAATTATTATTTATATTTACATTAATTATTTCTGTTTTTATTTCAGGTTTATCATTCTATTCAAGCTATTGTAAAACCACAACCTAAAAGCGATGAAGCTGCACAGCGAGAAATTCAAGAAGCCATGAGTCGAGTAAATGAGGCTCAGAATTTTATATCTGCAGCATTTGATCCAATGATGGCATTGCTTAAGAAGGATAAAAAAAGAAGCCGCTCAAGATCTCGAAGCCGTTATGGTAGATCGAGGAGAAGCAGATCACGATCAAGATCAAGGCATTCTCGAAGAAGATCGAGATCAAGACACAGAAGATCCAGGTCAAGATCTAGACGTTCAAGGTCAAGAAGGCGTTCTCGATCAAGGTCACACTCTAAGCACTCAAGAAGGTTAGCTGTTGTAATTAATTTGTCTATTTAAACGTTAATCGATGCATTTTATAATATTTACTTCCTGTTTTAGATCGAGATCGCGTGATAGACGTAGATCCAGATCTCGTTCGAGGCGAAGATCAAGATCCCGTTCAAAACGGTCTCGCTCTCGTTCCAAAAGAAGATCTCGTTCGCGATCTCACAGATCCAGTTCTAGGTCTAAAAGCTCATCCTCTAGGTCTCGCCACGATGAAAGAAAGCGCGACGAAAAAGATAAAAGAAAAGATGATAGGGAGAAAGATAGAGATAAAGAAAGGGACAGGGATAGAGATAGGGATAGGGACAGAGATAGAGATAGGGATAAAGATAGGGATAGGGAAAGGGATAGAGATAGAGACAAAGAAAAAGACAGAGATCGGGACAGGGACAGGGATAGAGACAGAGATAGGGATAGGGACAGAGAAAAGGAAAAAGAAAGAGATAGAGATAGGGATAAGGACAGAGAAAAAGAAAGAGAGAAAGATAAGGAAAAGAGAACTAAAATAAAGGAAAGAATAAAAGAAGAAGAAGAAAAGGAAGAAGCTGATTTGGAGCAAGAAACAGAACCTGAACCGATGGATGAAGATAAAATGGATGAGAAATAATAATTATCCTTTGTCGAATGGTTCAATTCATAATTTTCTCAAATTAATTTTACAATGATATGACTAAATAGAAATTTATAATTCGACCAATGTATCAGTTATGTATATGTTTTTGAAGTGTGGCTGTAATCATTATTATGATATTTATACATGAAAGATTTTTTTTCTTTTTTTTTTTTTTAGTTTTATTGAAATTTTAATTTATATAATATAAAAACCAAAAAAAAAAAACAAAAAAATTAATGATACTAATTTTAAATCATGTCTTTTGATTGGTGTTAAGTAATTTTTATTACAAAATAAATTGATTCTTATATAAAACTTATTTAGAAAAAAAAAAAATAATAATTATTTAAAATCTTATGCTTTGCTAATTTACATTGATTCGACTAATTTAAAACACTTATTAATTTTTTTACATCTTACTTTTTTAATTATCAAATCAATGATAATTTGTTAGGTAAAATTTTTAATATCATCAATTCGACAAGGAGAATTTTTTCAAATTGTTTTTGAGTAACAATATTTTCTTGTCAAAGCCATACTTTATTTAACGAGTCCCTGTTTAAATTTTTTGAAATAAAAATCAATTTGCAATTGTTAAACAGCCAGTACAGAGATAATTGCAAAAAATATGGCATATACACACACAACAAAGTAATTTGAAATTATTTAAAATGAATTTTAATTTATCGAGTCATACTTATTATACATTATAATTTTGATATAAAAATTATGCAACTTTTAAAAGTTATCATTATAATTGCTTATATTAATTTTCTTTTACTAAATTATATCTAAATATGAAATCACTCCAATTTTACACAATTATTTGTTTAATCTTTTTTTTTTTTTTAACAGAAAAACTTATGTATTCTTAAACACATAGATTTTTTATGATGAAGAAACTTTTTACTTTTTTTTTCTTAAATTAAACAATTCATTTGAAATTTTTTATTAATCACTTATTACTGCTAATTACAAATTTGATTATTACTGTTTTAAATTTTAAATCCTTTTTTTTTTCGATTTTTGCAAGAGTAATTAAATTCTTATTCAATAACCGTTAAATTATTTGACGCCATTTTCTTTTTCAAAAATCCATTTATAATTTATTTGATTAATTAAATTTTTTTTTTTGTGATTATTTTTTATTCATTCTTGCCCATAAACACATTTTTTTTTGTTATCACAAAAGACTTTTGATAATATAATGAATAAATCAATCACAACAAAAAATAAATAACTTGGCGATGAAAACTTTTTAAAATTCAAAACATTCTAAGTATTCTTAATAATAAAATAATTTTCAAAAAAAAATTTAAAAAAAAAAAAAGCATTGTCGCCAAAACGTATTTCACTGTTAATATAATTAAAGTTAATAATTACCTCATTTAACTCTTTTATTGATTAGTATATATTTTAATTTTAATAAATATCACTATTTATTACACACACAAAAAAAAAAAAAAATGGCAGTTGTAAAGAAAATATGATTACAGCCGCCAAATGATAAAATTGCGGAAAAGTGGCGGAAAGTGTCAAAGGTTAAACAAAGGTTTTGTATTTTGAAATTATCCATAAGACCGTAGTTTTCAATCTCAGTGGCTTGGTGTTCGGATCGTTTGTTTGAATTAAATTTTCTTTTTTTTTTTTTTTTCCGTTTTATTGTAACGTTTTTTATAATAAATATAAGTTAATTAAATCGGGTTTTTTTTTTTTTTTTTTTTTTTTTTTAAATGAAATGAACAGTTGTTATTGTTTAAGTATACATGACTAATTTGGAGGATAAGTTGAATATTTTCAAAAATCCTGGATTCTAAAAAAAGGTAAAAAATTTTAAACTTTTTTTTTTTTTTTTGTATATTTAAATATTCCATTTTTTTAAAAAATGAAACTGTAAGTATTTTGTTTTATTAATATTTTACATTTATAAAAATGCATTTCATTTTCGACAATAATTTAATTTTGTTAAATAACAATCAGGATAATAAATGCAAGTGATGGCAAGAAACGCCTTAAACTTGTTCACATTTGCTTTGAATTAACAATTATTTTAATATTTAATTTATTTACTTGTTTCATTTCTAAATATTCTTTTTACTTACATTCTTTATGACAAATTAAAATTTTTTGTATTTTTGTTTTTTCTAATTCGAGCATCAGTTACATAAAAAGATACAATCATGATTTAACTAAAATTTAATCAATGTATTATTTTTAAAAAATTACTTTTAATTTGAATTATTTCCACTCGAACCAAAAAAAAATTACAACTTCGAAAGCATAACAAAATATGAAAAGTATTAAATAATTACAAATTTTAATATTCAATTTAAATCATTAATTTATTATATGATTCTTGTTCTAATATTCCACCAATTCTACAATTTTTAAATAAGACTTGATTCAAACAAGTCCAAGCATGATTTTTATTATTAAAAAAAATTCAAATTTTCTTATCGATATTTTCTTTTCTTTTTTGATTGAATTCATTTATGTCATATTTTTTTCAAATATTAATTTTTTTAACTTACTAGAAAACTTAATAATGTAGAAAATTTGTGAATGGCCATTTAATTTTTCAAACTTTATTTTAAATTTAATTTGTCGAATAGTTAAAGTTTTGTGTGATTTGATCGACTTAAATGTAATTTTGTAAATAAAGGCTAGGTTTTCAAATGGTTATAATTCCTCTTTGTTGTTAATAATTTCTAGTTTTTTATTGTTTGTAGTATTTAGTCAATGAAAACTTTTTAATTGTTATTTTTTTTATCGAACGTTTAAAAAAAAATCTGTTCTCATTAAATTTAACATAAAAAACCTGGCTAATACTGACCAATGATTATGAGAATGTAAAAAAATAAAAAATAAAAATGAGGCTAAAGTATCGAATATATTAAATGATAATAATAATAATTTGCAAATTTTTTTTTTTTATCAATCAATGGAAAAATTATTATTTTTGGTTATTAGAACCTAAATCAGCGGTTTTTGAATAGTTTATATCAAAACCTTGGCCTGTGTTATACATTTATTAGGTATATGTATATAGCGACCTAGACCTAATCTTTATTCTTGAAGGTTAATAAAGAAAAAAAAAAACAGGTTTTTTTTAAATAAACATTGTTTGTTAACTTTAAACAATATTATTCTTTGCAATTATCAAGTATATATTTTTTTTCATTTCATACAAAAATATTTTATATGAAAAGAGAATAGTTTTGTATATTTATTTATAAGTTTTAAGTAATTAAGTGTGAATTAAGTTTGATAAAACATAATCAATCAATCAATCAATCATTTCTCATAAATATTATCAGGTATTATTATTATTATTATTATAATTATTATTTTATAAGCCACTTACTTTTTATATAAGTAATAAAAACACATACATAATATTGATAATTGTAATTTCAAATTGATTTATTGTAATTATTCAAGTATAAAAACTTTCTCGTTTTTTTTGGGCAGGGGGGAGGGAGATTTGTATTTAAAAAAATTATTCATTTTGAGGGGGGAAGGGTAGGAATGGGGGGACATAAATTATCGTTACGTAATTATCAAGTTACAAAAGTAGTAGTTAGTTTTTAAAAACGCTTAGAATTTTATTTATTTATTCTTTTTTTTCCCCCCCCCTATAATAATTTATTTTAAATTCCCCGACCCTCTCCCTCACCGCCCCCTTAAAATCCTCTAATATTTATTATGCGTTATCATATATCAGGATAATTTTCCAGTTTAAAAGTTTTTTGTGTGTGTGTGTGTTATTTAATAAATAATTCACATTTTGGAAAATTTTATCTTACTTCACATTTATTTTAATTTGTTAAAAAATTTTTTTTTTTTTTTTGCAATTTATTTCAGCCATCTTGAAATAATGAAAATTATTATTATTATTATTATTTGTGTGTGTGTCGATGTATATATCAAGATGTTGAAAAGTTTTTTTTAGAAAATCTAATTTGAATAATAGATAGATATGGCACTTTAAACGAACAATTTTTTTTTTTTTTTCAATTCAGATTTATTTATTTGTAGAAGGAAGTTGATTTTCGTGTCAAAGGTTAATGCGATAGCCTTATTATTATTATTATTATTATTATTATTATTATTATTATTGTGTCATCCGTAATTTGTCTCTCGGAAGTTTATTTAAAAAAAAAAAAATTTCACACACTCCCCAAAATAAAAAAAAAATAAAAAAAAAGATTTCTTTTTGTTTGTGTTTCGAAATTTATTATTATTATTATTACTATTATTATTATTATTTTTTATTGAGGTCAAAAAGAAATATGGTGTAAATACCGATTATATTTTATTTATGTATACATAAACGACGACGAAAAGCCGAATTAATCGATGGCGAAAAAAAAAAAAAAATTATTTGTTTATTTTATCATTATCATTACTATTATTATTATTATCATCGTCATTTTTTTTTAAAGGGGTTATTTTTATTTTTACGTTTTTTTTTTTTTTTTTTTTTTCACGTATATTAAAAATATTCAAACGGTAAATTTTAATTCATTAATTTAAAAAAAAAAAAAAAAAATACCTTTTGTCATTATTATATTTTCACGTTTACGATGATGATAATAATAATAAGTAAAGTCGTAGTCGAGTATATTGAGGCAGTGGGGGAATATGCATACGTGAAAAGCAGACAAGTTGGAAGAAAAAAAAAAAAAAAAAAAATTGGTTAATGAAACTTAGTTCAGTCATGACCGATCTGCGAAACTGTTGTTGTTATTATTATTATTGTGGTCGTCGTTTTTGTTTACAAACGAATAGAAAACTTTATTATTATTATTATTAGTATTTTGTTTTTTTTTTCGGCTTCGGTTAATTATTATTTACTAATAAATTAATAAATAAATTTTATTCCTATTAATTCGTAGTCATCGTGGTGTGTAAATACAAGTTTGCGAAAAATTAAAGTGATTGATTGATTATCGATTAATATCGGAATTTTTATTATTATTTTGATTTAACTT